GCCAGGTACCACGAAGAAAGAGTCCACCATACCCAAGTGGCCAGCCTCAGTCGGACCGGACCCGAGCGGCTTTGGGGAGACCATGGAGTACAATTGACCCATTGCCAGCTGAAGAACAGCCTAAAAAAAGCCCCACAAAATTGGCCACTTCTGTGGTGTGAATCTGCTGTGGCATGGCAGAAAGGTTCCAGGAACTGGAGGGTTTCGAAATGTCTGGTATATTATATAGAGGGTAAATAGATGATTATAATATATATATATACATACCAGAAATAGATGTTATGTAGTCATCTAATATTACCATCTAATTTCAGACTAACCCAAATGGTAAACATTTCAGTAAAAATCATCCCTACTTCAACGCCTATAAGGAGCAGGTCCCACGGGCCAGGCCGGGCTATTACGACCTGCGCTTGACACGCCATGGGAAGATGGTGGGATGCATGGCGCCCATCAGTTTGGGATGCCCAGAGTCTGACAGATGCTGCAAAAATGATACGACTGAACTAATCAGATGAAACACACATACACACATAGATATCATACATATATCATACATATATCATATATATATATATACATGTGTGTGTGTGTTTGAGACTTTGATCAAAAGCATTGGTGTGACTGAACTTTTGTGTGGCTCAATCCATTTGCTCCCGGACCCTCTTGAGATGGCGTTCTGGTTTCACGGGATGCCAAATGGAACTTTCGAAACCTGCTTCAACAAGAGGCTCCTTTGGTAGGTTTAAGACCAAAAACAAGGGGTTTTGGCTTAGCAAGTTCATGCAAGGTCTAGGTGGGGTAGTGATCATGCCAGTCGACACCCCTCGCATCCCCTCCCAGTTCACGATGTTCATCACCGAAGCCTTCGGTTCACCTCATGTACTTCTCGTCATCCCAGCAATTGCTATGGTAGGCTGGTTTTCAAGCAGCAAAAGCAAGGACTAACCACTCAGACTTGAGCAAAGAGAAGATGGAGAAGATTCCCGCCTGCAGCCTACACACGGTGGAATCATGTATGATGAGATGGAGAAACTAGCAGGAATGACAAAAGATACAAGAGTGCGTGGACCGTCCACCGGACCGCGAGGGATCGCGAGGGCGTCTGAAGCGCTGACGTGCAATTGGCTGCAATGGTAATCACGTTACGGCACGCGTTTCCTTGTGGAACTCTGGCGTGTTTTTGACAAGCGACAGATCCCAGCGAGCGTTTACACAGGTGAAAAGCATTGAAACTAATTCTTGTTACGTATGTGACATACTGCATCGGGAAAAACATATGGAGAATATCAACCCCCTTTTAAAGCCGCCGTTTCAGGGGGGACCATACCCAAATGTAAGGTACAGTTTTTTGGCACCAACCCCCCGCTCCCTTTTTCTTCAAATGTGAATTGGCCGCAGAACGTCCCCCAGCTGTCGTTTTTGTGGTAGGGGTATAACAAATCCCTTGAACATGCAAGCGTACATTTTCAAGGTCCCCGCCTCAAAAACAACATGTACCCTCTGGTAAACTAACATAACTATGGAAAATGGCCAGTTATAGTGAGTTTTCCCATTAATAATGGTGATTTTCAATAGCTACGTTAGTTTACCAGAGGGCAATGATCTTACATTTGAGCATGGTCCCCCGCCTCTAAAAGGCTAGTTCTTGGGCAGTGATTGGAGAATCCTGCTTGACTTGCTGCGGCCGCCCGGGCCGTGCTTTCAACAAAGCACCCACAAGAAACTCACTGCCTGCAGCCATGCTCTTGTGAATCATAGGCACCATCATCCCAAGAAGACATGACACACACACACACACATATATATATATATTATTTATTCCATGTTTTTTCTTCGATTTCCCCCATATCTTTTTACATGTGAAAAACCGATAAATCGTCAAGGCAAATTTCCCGGAGATCCTCGGTATGGATGTGGACCACCGTGCAAGGCTCAGGACCCGACTGGGCCTGGGGCTTCCATCCCCATGGATCCCCATGGTATTGGGATATTGGGGATGGTAAACATGGCATTGGGTTTACCACATTAATAGTATTAATATACTTGGTGCTTCAACCCTAGGATTGTCCCATTTTTAGAATCCTAGGATATCTAGGATCCACGAAAAAATCTTGGGGGAAACATCTGCAAGTAGGCGATTTTTGGGATGCAGCGCCAAGCATTAGGAGATACATAGGAAAAAACCATGAAACAACATGTCGTTTTTTAAAACTGCCCGATCTCAGATGCCTGGCTTGATCAAAATGCTGCAAGCCACCACAACAATCAGATATTATATGATATTATTCCCGCAGTAAGTTGACATAGATTTGCACATCCACCATTTGTAGATCATTGCCAATCATTGGTTAAGGCACACCATGATTTTCCATGATTTTCCCCACAATCTGCTGAAATCCTAGCAGCTCAGAACATCCATGTCCCAAGAGTTCCAAGGTTTGACACCGCGCGCAGCTGCGATGCGGCGCCCAATCCCATCCGTGAGACCCAGTATGTGGCGGCGGTGCACCGCGGCTGCGCCACGGAGATGGGAAAGGGCACCTACGGCCAGGGGACCTGGCAGGGGACCTGGGAGATGGGTAAAATGCCATGGGAAAAGCCCATTGTAAAGCCGTAAAGCGATGTGACATGTGAAGCTCCCAATTTTTGATGGTTAGTGACGCTTAGTGATGTTTGAACCATGTTGAACCCACTAGTAAGCCTCCAATTCTTGAGCTTCGGATTGGATCGAAGTGGTTTGATGGTTCATACCCACCCATTTCTGGTAAAATTGCGGATGGTTCATTGTTGGCTTTCCCAGATCAGCGTAGCAAGGTTATGCCTTCGATGATGGCATAGGACCAGAAGCCAGTCTCGCATGAACTAACCTGCTCCCGACAGTCTCCGCAGTGGCTTGAATTCAGTTTGACGGTAAAAGTGTTAGAAACTGTTGGAGAAAGCTATGTCATACCATCTTGTACCGATGTGCTGGGTGGGTTTTGGGTAATTATATCCCCATGAATGCTCCACCCCAGTGGCAGTCGACAGAGCAGTGGCAATCTCCAGGATTGAAGCAATGTCCTCCAATGACTCTCTACGAGTGGATCTTGTGCCGGGGCATCCTAGTGATCATGGCAGAACAATCAGGGAATCAGCAAGTTAAACTGGACATAACTGGACCATAACTGGGAACATTTTTAAGTATCCTTGGGGTTCTTTAAAGCGGAATATAATGGAATATATAGAAACCTGGTTGGTGGTTTCAAACATTTTCAATTTTCCACACTATATGGATCTATATGGGATAATCATCCCAGCTGACTTTCATATTTTTCAGAGGGGTAGGTATACCACCAACCAGTAAAGAATTTAAATCTTTGGGGTTTTTCAATGGTTGAACTTGGAGGGTCCCCAGCACCCCAGATGACCCCGTTCATCCCCGTTCGTTGCGAGGCCCCACGGGGAACGAGGAAGGCTTTGCATGGTCTGGAAACCTGAGGGATGGAGTTCCTGCAGCCTCCAGCAAGCAGGTCATTTTGTGGCCTGAAACTGTTGACATGTTCCTCACTTGATCATACTATATATATATATATGGCTATGGATCAATACCTATTAATACCATTTTTAGGGGGATGAACATCCATTTACCAGCTATTTTGATGTGAACTACAGGGGTACAAGGTTTTGACACACTGCCCCATATATATAATATGCATCAGTAAAATTCAATAAACTACCAGGCTGTCTGGCACTCATGACTGGCTGCTTAGGACTTGAGCCAAATCATCACCGCAGCTGTTACGGAAGCAAGGACCTGCATCCGCTTTCCTGTAGATAACGAATAGCTCCCATGAACAACCGCACCATTTCAGGGTGACAACATGTGAAGCAAACCGCCCTTTGACTGGCAACACAGTCCGCATCAGGTGCGCAAGATTGTGCAAGTCTTGCCTATACCATCCGATACTCTGAACACACATGGACACAGCTGGATATGAAGTCCCTGACAGCGCAAAAAATACAGACCGACAGAATTCGACAGTGTTCAACGGTGGCCGTGCCAGAGATGAGTACTTGCCAGCTGTGCTATGCAATTAGTAACTATGAGAATCCGTTGGCTTTGAAAAATTCCTTAGCAGTTCTGCCCTGCAACCACCCATTTTGAAGAGATACATCACGCGCCAATGGGAAGTTTGCCACTTGGAACCTCACACCGTAGCCATGTGCTTTTCATATTTCAGAGGGCAACCACTGATCTTTGTGAAGCCATGCGCCGCCTGCGCGGGAGGGGCATCAGGTGGGGCATGGTGGGGTGGAAGATGCAGGAGATTTCTAGCAGAAAACCTATCATTTTGAAACCGTTTTCCCACGGAAACATCGAGGTTTCTCACTTCATGCAGTTGATAATGCCTAGGCCTAGAGGGTTAACAGTATTTACATGTATTTACAGTATACCAAAATGATTTGAACAATGGGCACTTCAAAAAAGCCGACTACTAGTAGCATGAAATGTAAGGTTGGATGCAACCTACCTGTCAAATACTGTCACTGTAGCCCAAATGTGCCTATCAGTTGCTGAAAAAATAGGAGCCAATCGAAGCTACACCACCCTTTGGTTGCTTACCAAAGTTCTGTCCTGCGCAGACTCAAGCGTTGATTCTGGATGGCCAGTGTGTGAACATAGCAGAAGATCATTTCCTGGATCCTTGATGGGTATTGATGGATGATCAGATAACCCCTGCGGTAAACTAACAGTTTGCTATGGAAGCCATTTCCCATTTATAGATGATCTACCTTTTTCTGTAGTAATGTTAAATAGCCGGAGGGTATTGCTGTAATATGCTATAATACTAGCACCACAAATTTGCCAAATCATGTTTTTGGCGAAACTCGCAACCTGATCAAACCCAGATGTTTCATCCATTTCCCCCGAGATCGTTATTTATATATAGCTATATGCTACTTTTTCCCCGTTTGATGTCAGTTTTCAGCAGGGCAAGTCACTTTGTTTCTCACGCATGCCACTGACGCAGGTGTTTTCTGCTTCTCGCTTGCTGTTTGCTGAGCAGAACTGCTTGGACTTACCTCCAGCTGCCGCGGGCAGGCGTAGTCGCATGTAGTCAGCGTAGTCAGCGTAGTCGAAATCCTTGAGCATTCACCATGTTTCAGCCCCAAAAACCCTCAAAAACCTTGAAACCATTTGATTTTTGGTTCATCTTGGCTAATTTGGCTACCAAGTCAGACCATAAAAGACCACTCTGACATCCTGCCATCCTGCAATTATTCCCATGGACTCTTGGGCGAGCACGTCATTACCCAAGGGATCCCAAGGGTAAATCCTAAACAAACTGGCCCCTCAAAGGATCCCTTTGGATGGATGAACAACTATGACGTTGAAGTGGTCCAAATTTGACTGTTTGGTCGTGCTATTGTCATGCTGCATCTAGATGATCTAGACTCTAGACCTTAGATGATCTTAGATTTTGGTCGATCATCACGCTTCTTTCTCAGACCAACCAAAAGTTCAAAAGACTGATAAACAGATCTATATAAAAAACATCAATTTTTGCAAATTGGTATCACCATTTAAAGAAGCAACCGTATTTTCTGGATGTTGTGTATTTTTTGCGATGTTTGAACAGAGAAAATCATCTAAACTCTCGAAACTGACGCTTGCTGACAACTTTTTGGCCATTCAATCCCCCGTTCAGATGGCAATGGTGCACCAGCACCGGGGCGCAGATCACTGTCGGCGGTGACTTGGGTTGCCAGGAGATTCGAAGTTGAAAATCTGGGGTGAGAATCCCAATTTTCACAGACAAATCTTATATATGATCATTTTTTAATATTTTTTTCATGGAAACATCTTGGTTTTTAGAGTTGATATCTGGGAATTCTTGAGGGTTTCTCCTGCTCACAGTGTGTAAGCATCCCATGTTTGTTGATCAATTATCATTCTCTGCTGGTTCAACATCCCCAGTTTTGTGAGTCGAATCCAATCTGTTTTGTGAACGTCCCCATTATGTTAGTGAAATCATTCCTCTTGGATAAACATCCCATTTTTCCCTGCCTGCGAGGTGAGGGTCTCTTGATTTTAACAAAGGTGCAACTCCTTCCTGCCTTCCTTCCTTCCTTCCTTCCTTCCCTCCCTCCCTCCTTCCTTCACCTTCTTCCCTTTGCTCCACCTCCGCCTTCTCCTTCTGCCAGCCCGAACCCAGGATGCAGTGGAGGGCGCCTGGACCCGAACCCCACATCGCCAGCCCAGGATGCTGTGGAGGGCGCCTGAACCCGAACCCCAAGTTGCCAGCCCAGGATGCTGTGGGGGCCACCTGGACCCGAACCCCACATCGCCAGCCTTGGATGCTGTGAGAGCCACCTGGACCCGAACCCATGCCAGAGAGAAGGCCGGGCAGAATGTTGGATAGAATGTCAGATAGAATGCCAGAAAGAATCTCAGAAAGGATGTCAGAGTAGATGCCAGATAGAACGTCAGAACAGATGCCTTTTCTGGAATGCCAGAATGGAGCCTGAACAGATCGATCTATCGAAGTTAAGCCCAAGCGCTCCACGGACTTCGACCTGGACATGTTTGGCTGAGGTCCTGCTGAGCCTGCCCCTGAGTGTGGAGGCAGAGGCAGGGGCAGACATAGAAACAAACCTTGGTGGTTAGATGGTTTTGTGGCAGTTACTAGTAGGTAGCTAAATTAAAGCTAAATGAAAGCCAAGTAAGAAGTGGATGACAGCTCGGATGCGCATGTTTTCTTCAGAGTTCTGAATCAAATGAGTTCTAGAATGATTTTGTTTTATTAATGTATGTATGCCAGTACTTGTGGATGGGATGTCAGAGAGGGTGGCGAAAGAGTGGCACACCATGCCGTCAAAGAAGTGATTTCATTCTCTTCAAATTTACCATATTAGGGTACATTTCAAAGGAGGCACAAGGTACAGTATCTGGTCGAACTTGGCACTTTAAATCGGGAAAAAACAGCCAAAAACTCCTGCCACGTCGTCCCGATGATGAAGTGAAGGATGGGCCCTGGCAGGTGAAAGGTGGAAGCGGTGCTTCGCGCAACGTTGTGCTGAACGATGGCCTGCAATTCCCCAAGGCGAATCAACGAGTTGGTTCGGTGGGTCCCGGTTTCCAAAGTTCATCTTCATAGACCTTTCAAACTTGGGGTAAGTCAGTTAGTCATGAGTTTTCCAGTCCCATGAGCACAACTTTGGATCCATTGATCTTGGATAATTATATATATATAAATACTGGTTGGTGGTTTGGAACATTTTTTACTTTTCCATAATATATGGGATAATCCTTCCCAACTGACTTAAAAATCTTTTTCAAGATGGTTAAAAGCACCAGAACAAATTATTTACCAAATGGTTCCTGCCATGTTTTTCCGCTTAATCAGTGGATTGCCCCAAGAAAACCTGACTGATTCTTAGATCCTGGGATCGCCTGAAAGCCAAGGCCTCTTTCGGTTTGCAACTTGGCGGTTTGGGGGCGATTCCGCAGAGGGGCTGGTGGTTTTCAATGGTTTTCAGGTCTGGCAATCCGAAAAAGTATATAGAGAGAGTTCGAAATGTCGAAATTGGACGACATTATGGGATAATCAATGATGAAAAGAACCTGGGAGAAGGCTTCAAGTAATTTTTATGTCTTAGTTCTGTTTCATTTGTTAATTTCTAACTTGTGTATTTAAAGCTGACCATGCTAGTCTTTTCTTTTTGAATTATTTGGGGACTTCCCTGGTTTAAACCTGTTGCATTGACGGCTTAGGCAAGTCTACGATGACGAGACTGCTGAGAGGCTCACCTTGCAAGCCATCGAAGCTGGCGCCTCGGATGTGCGAAGGTGTCAGCGTTATGAAAGGATCAAAGATATGGGGATTCACAATCACATATGATTTTATATGGTGTTTGACCGGATATATTTTATATGATGTTTATAAAACCACTAAAAACAGGGATATGATATGCGTGATAAATCACGGTTGGTTGATGGTTGATTTTTTGAAGGGGGTTTGACTACTTGGATCACTGGGGATCATTATAACCATTTATAACCTATAGTAGGGATAACCTATAGTATAATGGGATGGGATATATTATTTTCATGGCTCATATGGGCAAGTTAGAACAACATCACTGTGAATCAGTGAAGTCACCATAAATGATGGTTAGTAGGGCCCAGAGTTCACCCAGTCGTTAGTCAGAACATTTCATGTTAAAATATGTTAAAATACAGGGTATACGCCATTTTTGGATATTGGGATATGCTGTTTTTATACTCCATTTTTGGACGCACCCAACTTCTCAGGCGAATCCACCAGCACCATAGATGGTTTCTTTCGCTCCGGCCCGGGCTGTTCAGGTTACCGGAACTTCTTCGCCTCGGTTTCTGGGCTTCTGATAACCTGACAATCATGGGGATATACTGGTGATAGAATGTTCTGAGATAATACCCTATAGGGATTAGGGATAGATACTACATATATATATATATACACATGATAATAGTACTAATGATAAGAATAGTAATCGTAATAACAACAACAATATATAATGACAATACTACTACTACGACGACTACTACGACTACCACGACTACGATGACTACGACGACTACTACGACTACGACGACTACTACGACTACGACGACGACTATTACCACGACGGCTACGACGACTACGACGACTACGACTACTACGACTACTACGACGACTACGACTACGACTACGACGACGACTACTACTACTACGACGACGACTGCGACTACTACGACTACTACGACTACTACGACTACTACGACTACTACGACTACTACGACTACTATGACTACTACGACTACTACGACTACTACGACTACTACGGCTACTACGACTACTACGACTGCTACGACTACTGATAATAAAAATTCATTGCCAGGGAATGCCAGGGATATATTAATGGAACTAGACTATAATAGGGATAATCTGATTACAATCCATGATGTAACTAACATCATGGGGATATACTGGTGATATGATGGAGGTATAATGGGGATGTGCAATCAACACCTTGATGCTTGGGTGTGTGGAACCTCATTCATTTTGCAACCGGTATCGTATACTGATTGCCAGGTGCGAAACTTTCCATGATTGACATATGAGAACTATCAATATTTGTTCCTGATGTGGAAAACCACTCCAGATGTTTTCATGATTGAAGGTTTGGGCATTTCCCTTAATCAGAGAAGTGTCAGCTGATGCACCGACACCCCAATGTTTGTTGTTTCATGGTATCCTTAGGTTGACACATGTTAACACCCAATTGGGAAGGGTTTGCTGGGAAAAATCAAACCCACTTCACTGTGGCTACCCTCTGCCAATAAATTAACATAATAGGCATGAAAAACCAACCATTCCATATCTATGTTATTCTATATGTCAATTGACCGGCGGGAATTGTACCTGGAGGGAAGATGTATTTTGGCGCATGTTTGCAGCAACATTCCACGCAATCTCGAAGACTGGAGAGTTGGCTTAGGTGTTGGCTGGCAACCAGAAAGGATTTGCACGAGCAGTGCAGAAGTCTGGCGTGCCACGAGAAGAGCTCCTTGGATGGCACTTCAAGGTGAATTTGGAGTGTTCACTTCCATCCATTTCAAATGAATATACATGAATATACGCTACCTCTCAGAAGCTAAAGATCGGAGGCAACCCATTGTCTGAAGAAGAATCGCGCTTTTCTTTGTGGTTGCGTGAAGCAGCTGGTTGGTAGTCTCACTATTCAATCTGTCTGTGTAATTACAGAGGCACCAAGCCACATATTTAGAGAATGCTGCTGATGGCCATGGGCAAACTCACTCAACTTGCGGCAGACTTTTTCAAAATCAGGGTGCCCCAGCTGGCCATCGGTTTCCCGACAAGGAAAATGATCAATAGCTTGGATGGCAAGGGGGGCCCCCCAGAATTGCTATTGGTGCCACTATAGATCCAAGCAACACACCCAACCATATCCTGTCCATATCTCCGTAAATCCCCTGTTTGGGATTATTTCATATTATTTCCCCATAATATCTCCGTTCAACCCCCACAAACTCTTCCGGACATAGAAATTGGCTCCCCAGCTTCGAATGACCTTCCAACCCCCTAGGGCCCCTACCGGCCTGTCAGACCTGTCCGCAGTTGGCGTTGCGGAGGTTTTTCATTTGCGGCTCCGTTGTGAGCAACTTGGCTCAGGACTTTGACGATGCGCAGCTTGGTTGAATTCATAGTGATGCAAGGTGGGGCTGCTCAGTTTTGTTGGTTTATAAACCCAACTGTAACTATAGAATACTATAGATAGTTGTCATTGAGTGATTGCCATAAACCAGTAATATGGGAACTCAACGTAATTTAACCATCAACCATACTTAGCTAAATTGGTTTATATATATCTATAACTAGGTTAACTACGGTTTATGGTAAACATATGATAATTATAGAGTTAATGGGGGTTATAAAGCAACTTATAACTGGGGGGCCCACCTTGTAGTGATGCCGGAGGGTCGGATGGTTCCCGGAATTAGTTGAAGGGAAAATCTAATAGGAAACACCTGTATTTGAAGGTCAGAACCATGGTTTCGTGTGTAAAATTTACCTCAAACCAAGTCACTGGTTTTTGAACATGCGGCCAGGGAAATATCTTTGTATCAATCGATGTCAATAGTCATTTTCTTCGATTTATATTTTGAACCTTTAGCACGCCCATCTGCTGGAAGCATCCTCCAAGCTTCAGGAATGTAGACACATGTAATTTTGTCCATCGCTCTGGCTAAATTCTAGTCACTTCACTGGCCAACGTCACTGTAAATGATGGTTCGGATTGGGGGTGTCATTCCAAACATGGCTTATTTATTTTGCCCAGTGCATACAATTTCAGACTGGTGAAGACTTGTCATATCTTGTCATTTGGCCCAGATTCGTGTCTTATTCTGGATTCATGTTTGCCAAAATCTGGACTGTTCAGGATTTTTTTTTAAACATCCAAGACAAACTTAAGATTTGAATCCTAGTTTTGTTGACCATGGGCACATTTAAATTATAACCTATCAGACCTATCAATTTCCTTCGCTTATCGCCCAGGTATAGCACCACCAAAGAGGGCTGTGACAAGAACCTGGAAGTCCTGGCGGAAGGAGGCATCACCAAGCTGGACATGATCCTGTCGCTTGGTGGCAAGCGGGGCAATCTCACGGTGCGAGTCTTCGAGTGGCACTGGAAACTGGAAACTGGAAACCATGAGAAAAAGGCTGATCTTTCGGGTACTTTCTTAGTTTGGTGGATGCATATCCTGATTTTCCAGTGATGGACACATGGATTTTCCAGCCAAATGGAGCTGAGGCTGGACTACCCAGCGAAGGATTGCGAAACCATCCGTGGCCAGTGGAAAGCCTTTGAGGCCACTAATGGTTGTGGTGAATTCTCTAAGCTCAAGCCCCCAAAAAGTGGCTGGATGACCAGCTATGTGTGATTATTCATGGGTTTTGGGCATTGTTGGCCTTCCACTCTTGGGGCATGCTGGCCCTTCTGAGGAGGCAAAACTGATGACCAAGCCCGTTCCCTCGTGGCTAACAGCTTGTGCTCTCCGCCGTCCGCGTCAGGAAATGAAGGCTGCCAAACAAACCAAGAGTTTGGCTGTCAGCAACTTTTCTCCCGAGCAATTGGATTGCATTCTTGCAGACCCGGCGCCTCGGTGAAAAGGATGAGCAATGGGTCCACCCCAACAGGACTTGAAGATTCTTTGCTCATCTGGCTCATCTCTCATCAAAAAAAATGCAGCTGGGCAGAGCAGCTGTGATTTTCATAATGCTGGCTTCTGTATTGAGCAGTTGGAGTGGGGAGCCAAGGATGCCACGAAGCCTGTCTTGAATCAGCTGCCATATTCTCCAAAGAAGCTTGGCAGTGGTGAGAAGAGGAGTGGGAGAGTCATGGCCAAAAAGGGCTCCAACTCAAAATTGGACCGTGCCCAAGCACCAAAAAGGTGTCAGCAGTTTTCATGAACCATGAATATGGCTGCAAACTGGCAATATCGCTGATCAAACCTGTAGGTTTACGATGCAGATGCTGAGACCATGCCTAAGTTTCGGATGTCGCCCCTAGTGATTGAGGAATAAGTAATTAAGCCATATTAAGCCCATGGCTTTACCGAGGAACTATGACGCAAAGGCGGTGGAGGAGAATGGTAAACGTGTCTTGTCAAACGCACTGCAACCCGCCTTGAAGGATCATGGTCATTCAGTTGGACAAAACCGAGAAATCTGACGGTTGGTACAGGATTGAATATGGTCAAAATATGTAGTTTTTCACAGGGGTTGGTAACTGTCCCATTTTGGGAATATTGGACAATCACCTGAAAAAGTAGCCATTATAGACCATATACCTAATGGTTGGGTGATGTTCAATGGGGACATTTAATGACCCATGTTTCAGGGCCTGAACCATGAATATTCAGCTATAGTAATGCACAGCCATTCAAAGATTTGATACGGAAGAATCCCGCTTACCAGGGAAAGCCACCAGAAATCCATGACATGGTTGTCCCAGGTCCCAGAATTTCTGTGACTCCGAAAAATTCATGAACATTCACCAGAACCCTGATTGTAAAGGCATTGGTTTAATTAACTGGTTTCCTCTTTAAAAACAAATCGAATCATCTCGAATCTATTGATTCATTTTTTTTCGAGGCGTGCTAATAAACCACCTGGTAGTTTTGCCGCTTTTCTACATACGTCATGCTACGTTTGGGGTGGGGTGGGGCTAACGTCATGTTCTATTGCACTATTGCAATCAACATACATACTTCATGCTACGTCTGGGGTGGGGTGGGGTGGCAAATTGAAGTGAAGGGAAACGCGCCGCGAGGGTTGATTGCACCAGGTTGGCACAGAATCATGTAAAATACAGTATGAAATGGTGTCGAAGACACAAACGATACCAGGTTAAATACCAGCGCGTGACCTTGTTTAGACAAGCCTCAAAAATTGAGAATCATTTTTTCTCATTGAACTATGTACTTGGCGGTTCACCCCAATCGCGTTTAATCCTGCTTACCCAATTCTTACCCTATACTGTACTGAATTCACTGGGGTGAACTAACCCACAAACACGATTCCGGGGGACCACCAAGTACTCTCCCGTTTATTGAAGTTTGAAACCTTCCTGTTATATTACTGGCCCCATTAACTCCATGAAAACTATACATATAATATATGTTGTACTTGCCATAAACCCTATAGTTGTACTATATAGTTATCAACTGTTATCAACTGTTCTCAACCAGCTTCGCCAGCCGAAATCAGCTCTTTTCTGGCTGTAAATCATCATTTTTCTTGCTGAACTCCCTTTTCTCCAGCAAGAAAAACCTTCGAAATTCACGGCTGAGGCGGGATCCTGGTTCAGGCCTGGGGACCACTGGGCAGTGGATCCTTGGGCATTAGCGCCTCATCCGCCTGCGAGGAGCAATTCATGGGCATCCAGGAGTTTTTTTGGAGCCATTCATATCACTTATCCGTGAAGAGAACCCCAAGAAATGTGGACATTATTATTTTTTTTTGAGATCCCATGAAGACATATGAAGACATGAGAGTGATGTAAAAATGCTCTTCACCATCAGGGAAAATGGACGATGATGATTCACAAGTGGATTTGCGGGTGGCCTCTGGGAACATGTCACCGCCAACGGGTTTTTATCATCGAACTAGCCATGGGCCATGGCTTCAATTAGCTACTCCCAAGCAGCTGTAATTCCTGAAGGGCATCCACACTTTTATTTGTTTACACTCCACTATTTTGTTTACGTGTTAAGAGTTGCGATGATGATTTGATCATGGGCGGATATGATATATGGCTCTTTTCTCTGGTGTTTCTTCTCCGACATTGGCATCACAGCGTGTACTTGTAGCTGGGTTGCAGGCTCACCATTAACATGGCATGACAAGCTATGACTTTGTCACGTGGATCAGGTACAGCTAGCTCAAATCTGCTCCGAACTTTGCTCATTTTTCACTACTTAAATCCCATGAAAATCAACTTCAACCATCTTAACTTCATTCAACATTAACTAGTGGGACCTTGGTCAAGCCCGCTTCCGGTGGTCAACATTTGTCAAAACGCTGGCAGGAGATAGGCCAGAAGTATGGCAAAAGCGCGGCACAAGTTGCCTTGAGTTTCGGCAGCTTTAGAAATCTTCTTGATGCGACAGAGTTGGGTCCTATTATAGGAATTAGGTTGGGGTTATGCAATTTGTTGGCCTGACTTCTCAGGCTAGTGACATACTAAAACTTACCCGGAATCTTACAAACATGCGACGGCAACAATGGCATGTAAGCAACACAAGTGAGGATGATCTAGAATGATGTAGCCTTGCCATCAAACCACAAGCAAAGACGCTTCCCCTGCCTGGCATTGTGGTTTTATATGGTATATGGTAGACGATCCAATGGTGCGATTTGGCTCTCAGGGATCCACATCCATGCCATTCATACTCGATTTGCCATAAGGAACCCAACCCCCAATGGCAGACATACTCAATATTACTCAATATTGTAAAGATTCACGCTTTGGTTGGACAGCAAAAAGGGTCCCTTTTGCCACCGCAGATCGGCCCAGAGCGATGTAGAATCGTTCGAAAGGGACGAACTGGACGAACTTTCGTCCCCCAAAGATCTTTCTGATCCTTTCTGGTAAACTTCAAGACCTGGTAAACCCAAAGTTGGCTCAAATAATGACCCGCAACTTCTTGCTCTGGCTGGTTTTTAGAGACCTCGGTTTCACATTTCGTGATGAGGGATGGTAAATTAAGAAGCGCTGGAAACTTCTTGTGTTTTAGCAGCAGTTTGGTGGTTTCAGATGTTTTTCCCACAAATTTGGGACGATGATCCCCGTAATGACTTTTTGATGAATTTTGATGATAGAATATAATAGATAGATAGATAGATAGATAGATAGATAGATAGATAGATAGATAGATAGATAGATAGATAGATAGATAGATAGATAGATAGATAGATCGATAGATCCATCGATCGATCGATCGATCGATCGATCGATCGATAGATCGATAGATGGATAGATGGATAGATGGATAGATGGATAGATGGATAGATGGATAGATGGATAGATGGATAGATGGATAGATGGATAGATGGATAGATGGATAGATGGCTAGATGGATAGATGGATAGATGGATAGATGGATAGATGGATAGATGGATAGATGGATAGATGGATAGATGGATAGATGGATAGATAGATAGATAGATAGATAGATAGATAGATAGATAGATGAATAGATAGATAGATGAATAGATCGATAGATGGATAGATCGATAGATGGATAGATCGATAGATGGATAGATCGATAGATGGATAGATGGATAGATAGATAGATGGATAGATGGATAGATAGATAGATAGATGGATAGATAGATGGATAGATAGATGGATAGATAGATAGATAGATAGATAGATAAATATATATATATATAACTAGTATGTTGATGAATTTGCAGGGTGAAACCACTAACAAGATTCTTTCACCCTAGACCTTTGCCACAGCATTCGGCATTTCGCCATGGCGATGACGTTGGAGGTGTCCCTGCCCAGTGGGCAGTCTGTGAAGCTGCAGCTGCCAGGTGAAGGCACCGTGCAGGAGCTGAAAGTGGCGGCACAGGTGGCACTGGGACGGAAGTTCTTAACACTTTCGAAGGCAGATGGAACCTTGGATCCCTGTGAGATCTATGAGATCTATGTCCCCGAAATGGATTTTTCACGGGTGTCAATTGGTCAAACAGGAGATACCCAGAACGGAGAGAACTTGGGGTTGATGGCGGTCATGGGTTTGGACATTTGTGTTGTGATGCTTTATCGGTCCTCAGTGCATTTTCTTTCAACTGCCCTAGAGCCCGAATCCAACAGAGTCATGCCTTTTTATTGAGGGAGTTCGTCTGTGTTCGTCGCAGGTTTTGCAATGCAGTGGGACTGTCTGATTTTTTGAAACACAAGATAGAATGAAAGAATCACTCACAAAAGCTATGTAGGTGTTTGTAGTTTTCATCAGTTTTCTGCATTTGCTTTGCGCAGAAAAAAACTTAGTTGCGGTTTGATATGTAAATACTTGAATATTTTATACACATGATATTCCGTTCCCATTCATGTCCCATCTTTGTTGATGTGTCCACTTCGTCCCCCGTTTCTGTTTGTGAGGTGCCCAGTCATGGATATATCATATCCAATTTGCTGGCCATTACAATCCCTATTAGCCCATTACAATCCCTATTACCTCAGGATCTTTTTCCCATCCTTTGGATGATATCCGGTCACGGCCTGGTTTGGAACCTAACGTTTTACCTTGGGAACTTTCCACTTCTTCACTGTGAAGTGAACAACATTCAATGATTGGCAATAAGAACCACCAGAAAATGTTCACTTGCTAACTATTCAATGTTCACTTGGCAATCACTTGCCATTACTGTTTGTTTCGGGTAATGGCCAGTGATTTGCCCAGATCAATGGCTCACTGATCGTCTCAGTTTCTATTTGCTGGTCGCTCCAGCGGGGCTGTGCTGTTCTTGCTGGGTGAAGTTTCCCATAGTTTTCCATCACAGATCATATCCTCCGGTAATTTAACATAGCTATGGAAAATCACAATTTTTAATGGGACAATCCACTATTTCTATGGCAATTTTCAATAGCTATGTTAGTTTACCAGAGGGTAACCGCAATCATCATCACGATTTTGCTTTTATTCCCAGAGCTGCTTTGGTGTATGCATTGAATGATATTCCATATTTTGGGTTAAAGCTTTGTCCGTGTTACATGCCCTTTCGGTTAGTCACAATCATAATCATACCACATAACGAAGTCACAGTAGGTAATAATCATAGATGACCAGAATTACAATCACAGTCATAGTCATCATTTCTCAATCTCATAACCATATTCCACAATATTAACTATATGCCATAACAACTGTAATGGGTATGTTACCAAACATGATTGCAATTATTCTCCAGTATATATTTTGATTGGGTTGATCTTTCAATAGTAATATATTTATCATCACCATCATCATCATCATCATCATCAGAATTAGTACCAAAAAACACTTAACACTACACATTACTATGTGAACATAAAAAGATTAATATAGGAAGCATCAGAACCAGCACCATGGTGTTCCCACGGATCTCCCCAGGATCTTCCTTGGATCCCAGCGACTCTCTTTCCGCGGCGGGTCTTCACCATGGAGACCAGCTGAGTGCCGTAGTGCAGCCGCCCCGGATGGCGGCAACGGCATCTTGGACTCACGGAATCCGGTGGATGAATGGTTGCGGAGATCGGTTTCCCTGTGGATACCCTCTGGTAAACATACAAAAAGCTATTGAAAATGGCCATAGAAATAGTGGATTTACCCATTAAAAATGGTGATTTTCCATAGTTATGTTAGTTTACCAGAGGGTAATTCTAGGGAAAATATCTACCCTCTGGTTATGACTAACGGTTTGCCATGGAAGCCATGGTCCATCTATACTGTAGATGGTTTACCTAGTGATAGCATGGTGATTTTCCATGGCTATGTTGAATAACCAGAGGGTAATACCCTCTGGTAATCTAACAGTTTGCTAGGGAAAATACCGTCTTTAATAGCTAGCAGCTAAATCAACTATAAATTGTCCATTTTCCATAGCAAACTGTTAGTTTACCGAAGGGTTGAGGGGTCGTCTGTACACGCGAAAACGGGTTCGTCTGTACACGCGAAAAGGATCCTCTTCATCCAATTCATCTATATAAGTTCATAATGTTCTACAACATCACCTTTTATTTTCTCCATGTCTATCCTCTACAACATCACCTTCTTCTTTTTATTTTCCACATCAACAGCATCATCCACATGTATTGGCAACAGCCATGTTATTTAAATATATTTAAATTATTCACAACCTGCAGGATATTACCGGCATCATCCATCATTTACAAGCAGCAAACCAAGAAGTCGGGGGGCGTAAGGTTCCAAGATAAAAACCTATAGGGTTGCAAATGTTCAAAGGACAAGTGCCTATAGGAAACGGTTGTGGGCCTTGAACAGGGCATACTAACATCTCACCACCCCACCCCACCCCACCCCACCCCACCAGTAACTGATCATGAAAGAGTAGTGCCTGTGTCTGCTGGAGAGCAAGAAAGATGAACAGGTTGGGTGTGCCTGTGTGTGAACACGAACATGAACGTTATTACCCCACCCCACCGGTAACTGATCAGCCAAGAGTAGTGCCTGTGCCTGCAGGACAGCAAGAAAGATGATAAGGTTGCTGTGCCTGTGTGTGTGCACAGGAACATGAACGTTATCACCCCACCCCACCCCATCCCCAGAAAGGTGCCTGTGTCTGCTGGAGAGAAGAAAGATGCTAAGGTTTGCTGTGTCTGTGTGTGCACAGGAACATGAACATTATTAGCCCACCCCACCCCACCCCACCCCATCCCCCCAGACAGCTCTGCGTGTACAGATGAACCCGATATGTGTGTACAGATGAACCCGAAATGTGTGTACAGATGAACCGGGTCTGTGTGTACAGATGACCCTGATTTGTGTGCGCAGATGACCCTCCATCCTTTACCGGAGGGTGTCCCCTCTGATAAAAATGCTGGCGATTATGGGGATGATTCCTATACCCTCTGGTTATTGATGATGGTGATCAACCATTGGTTAAATATTTAAGGGGGATATTTACCAATGGTTGATGACCATATCATAATCAACATTTTAGATGGGGATAGCTAAGGCAGCTAAGATACTGGGAATGTATTTGTTTTTAAAGCATAGCCAACGGCTATCTGTGATCAATGATGATTAATGATAATGATTACTGATTGATGGGTATATTAGTAAGCCCCTAAGATGAATGATTACCCTCTGGTCATTTCACATAGCTATGGATGCCCGTTACAATCCCATTATTTACATTAAATAGGAACCACAATAGTTACCCACTGGTGCAGAATTTATTCCATCAGTAGCTATGGAAGCCATGGCACATTTTAGTTCCATGAATTATGATGATGTATGATGATCTTCATAATGGTGGTTTTCTGTAGCTACGTTGGATTACCAGAGGGTAACCATCAATATCTATAGGGTATTAGTGCTAGAATTAACCGTGATAGGAATAAGTTATCAATATTTATAGGAATATTTAGAGATAACCGAGAGAACCAACAATACGGGATAACACGTGGGAAGCAATAGGTATTTAACCATAACTCGGGATTTAAGTACATGGTGGGACCCCAATGATAGCTAAGTTGGTGTAACATGATTCAGATTTTACTAGCTTTACGGCAACTAAAACTCTAGTTAGATGAACCAACTTGCAAGGGAAAGCCCCTCGTCTGTGACGCGGAAATCTTCCTCATCTGTGACGCGGACGCGTTTCCTCAACTGTGACGCGGTCCCTCGGTTGTGACGCGAGGTGGGGTTTTGCGTGGCAGGCGTGGCACTTTGTGCCATCGATGGTCTCCTTGTGTGGCGCGTGTTGGGCCTGGTGACATCGACTTTGCGTTTCTGTGGTTTTCCCAAAGCGGGCTTGCCCAGCTGTTCTGCTCCTTTTTCCCGTGGCTCTGCTTCTGTGCTCCTTTCTCCGTCTGGTGCTCCGTTTTGCCCGCTCAGCTGCCCAAGTCCATCAAAACGG